CCACAAGACTCGCTATAATGGGCAAAAATGGAAAAGAAACAATTATCCTGTAAATTGTGCTTTGTAATTGAGATTCTTTTTCAAAGAAAGTGATAATAAGTAAATTCTCATCTAACCTTCATACTCTGTGAGGCTTTTGCTTCTTTACCATGTAGCACTTGACTCTGACGCTCCTGTCAGAGGCAGGGGAGGACCAGCGTGCCCGGCAGCCCTCCCTCGCCACGCCGCCTTCCCCCTTGCAAGTCTCCTGCACGCATTTAGATCTCTTCTGCTGAGCTCTGTAAAGCAGAAGTAGAGCACAGCTCCTTTGATGATCTTGATCTAAATAGCAAGTTGTCATCTGAATTAAAAGGGAGAGACTGCAGCAGATGAAAGACAAGCAATATGCTTATTTTCTGGTCTAGCAGTGCTGTTATTCTACCTGTGTCCCAAGCCCATACACAAATAATTGGGAATTTGCTGTCTTAATGGCTGTTGTTTTTTTTTTGTTGTACCTCTGTGGCTGTGCGGGTGAATGTGAAAAGGTTTTTGCACATGTATATATATATTTTTGGTAGACACTGCACAGCTAAAGCCTCTTTTAATTTTCTCTCTAATTTATTTTTAATTTTGTAACCCCTCAGGGGTAAATCCTTATTATATGATGTAAAATCATCTCTTCTACAAAGCAGCTTATTTGTTGATTTTTAGTTTGAGCCAGCAGAGGCAAAGCTGTAGCTTTTTTCCAAACACTAAGAGCTCCTCTGTATATATAACTGTCAAGTGTGTGTCTCACTGTAAAATTAGTAAAAAAATGTAAAACCTAAACCTGTCCTTCTAGAAAGGGCAAAAAGGAGGTTTGTATTTCTGTGTTAACAGTATGTTAGACTTCTGAATCCAAAAACATTCTTAATATGCAATTTGCTTTTAAATCTACATTACATTTGGATTAGACTGACTATGAAGGTTTACATTTTCAAAAGCTCGAGTGCTGACAGAAGTTAGGGATTTGTTTTTTGAACGGGGATCTCCATAAAAAGATGGCACTGTCTGAAGATGGCATTACTCTGTGCACTCACATAAATGCATGTTCACCAACATCGATGTGTGCTTTTGGCTCTTTGGAAATGTTGCCTTTAAGCTAATGGGCACACTTTACGGTTTAGTATTTGTTTATATGACTGGCTGGAAGACTTAGTCACTGTCCTATAGAGATAATAACAAAAACACACGATCTGACATAATCTCTCTTCCTTTTACATTCAGTGGGGGAGATGTTTATTTTCAAACCACTGTTTATCTCATCCTAAAGAATTCATCTGGAATATGTTAGGTGAAAAATGCTTTAAAAAAGCCTTACCAGCTACTTCAGGTGTAGGCGTCTGCATTCGATCCTTCTGGCCTACAACACTTACAACTCAAAAGACCTGAATAATTAGTTTGCTTTGAGTTGTCATCAAGGGAAATGAAAAACCCCAGATTGTTTCGTTTTGTTTTGTTTTTAATTAAGTGTGATATTTTTCCCCCACTTTGTTGTTATGCAAAGGTGATGTTTATTACTGTTCAGGACTTTTGAATGAAGCTCTTGATTCCCTCTGCTTCTCCTTTTAGTCATCCCAAGTTAAGTCAAGGCTTCCCACTTATCTCCCTAACTCCCATCTCACTTCTCCTTGTTGTCTCTGAATTCCCTGAGGATGCCATCTGTGATTGCTGTCCAGAGGTCCTGTCCTGCTGGCAGCCCACGCCTTCTCCAGGCTGTCTTCCACTGTTGCCTTCTACTGGGTCACTCTTGCAAAAGTGTGACATTTGAATATGGTGGCTTTATTTCAGCCCCGTCTCAAAACCGGGACTCCACCTGCCTCTTCCTTGATTTGTCCATAGCATTGGACTGACACTCACTGCAGATGATAATCTTCTTTCTCCTGCCCTTCTCTGCAGAAAATCTCCCACTTCAGGAGCGATTCGTTCTCTTCTGTGAATTGTGATGACAACGCCAAAAAATAGAGAGCAGTAAAAAAATAGTCTCCAGATAAACAATGTTAAACATGCATTGCTTTTTGCTCAGATATACCCTCAAATGGGGTCCCTCAGTTTTGCTAATGCTTGTAGATCTGCACAACTGATATGTTAATGATAAATGATAATAATAATGTGGGCAGAGGGATGCAGGTCAGAAGCCAGACCTTTCTTGCACACTAAGTAACAGGAGATGCAGCAAGTGAGTGGAAGCGAAGACTAAGTAGGTTCCACAGAGAAAGATGCAGCTCCTGCACAAGATTCTTTTTCCAGGAACAAACTCGCTATTTTATTTTTGTCATGCTGAACGCTTGTACATCTCTCTGCTTTCCACTAGGCAAGACAAAGACACTTGCTGTGAAGCTAAACCAATGTTCATCAGAGCTGCACGGTGCCTGCATAAATTCATTTCGGCATTGCTTTTTGCTCTGCAGAGCCTTCTCAGCTGAACCTGATCTTTTGCAGTTTGGAATATCTGTGTATCAAAGATAAAATAGCACTTGCCAAATATTTTTCTTACTTCTGTTGTTAGCCCAGAAAGGATTGAGAAAACAAAAGAGAGAACTGTGTGTGTCAGTTAAAATTACAGATTTAACTTCCATCTCCGGAAACTCTGACTTTACCTGTTAGCCAGAAGTCATGACCCTTTTAAAGTTTATTTGGCCACATCTGAACAGTATAGTGATCTGCGGTTGGAAATTGAAGCTGGAGAAAGCAAGCACTGGCAAACCAAAAGTGCCAAAAGATTCCTTGAGATCTGTCCATAGTCCTTACTCAGGCAGCCTAATGCCAGTGCCAGTTCTTGAACCTGCTTCTTTCTGTATTTTAAGTACCACCAAGGTCTAACAGTCACAAACTGCAGTGACTCTGAGAGGTTTATACTGTCTTATAGTTTGATGTCTTTGATTTTTAAACTTTCTGTTTACAATTAACAAGAAAAATTGCTCTGAAGTGTTAACCATGCCTTTCCATTGCATTGACGTTTATCAGCTGGTGTTTTAAAGGTATTATCTGGGCAGCACAAGAATTAGAGATACAGTTTCAGTACCTGGAAAGGATCTATCTGTGTGTTTTACACTGATTTTAGTAGGAATTAGGACATCTAGTCTCAAATGCTTTTTTGAAAATACCTCCCTAAATGTATCAAAAAATAAAATCCTACAATATGCCTCTTTCTTCATGCTCAAATCATCATAACAGATACATAAATGTCATCATAATTCGTGTCCGCAGTGCACTGTTCCTCTACCCCGGTACAAATAAAGGATGGGAATTTCTTTTTAGTGAGTTCTCCTGCGAGTTGGTGGTAACAGGAAAGTGTGGTATGGTTGAATGTACTGACTCATTCTTATTTAAGGTCTTAAATAATTAGCCTACTCACCACCTTGTTTCTGTTATTTCTCTGCTGCTTACTGAGAGAAAGAGAAGGGAGCGAAGGAAGGAAAGGAAGGAAGGCTTTTTAGCATTTACAGTTTTGCACTCAGTGTCATTACCACTGTAACAAATAATTAGGTTGTTGCCTAATAACATCCCACTGGAAGTGTGTGTGTGTGAGCATCTGTTAATGAACAAACGTCAAATGATTCAGATGCTTGGTTCAGGTAAATACCCATTGAGGTCACTCAGTGGGGCCAAGATTTGATGTCTAAGATCTGGAATCAACTTCTGAAGTAATTACCTGTTTTTCTGTGATTGCATCTTATGAGATCTGAGACAGTCCAGTGCTATAGAGAGCCTACCACTTCTGATGGTACGGCAGCACATCTCTCACTGGTTCTGTTTGAACCAGAGAGCGAACACACTTGTGATGATGGAAAATGATGAGGAACAATTGGGAAGCCTGAACAAGTTTTGGTGGCAATTGACAATAATGTTCCTTTTCTTCTGTATTTTCCACCACACATTTTGATGATCACAGGCACTTAAAAAGGCTGCAGCAACACGAACAAATCTCAGAATAGTGGGGGGGGGGTTTTTAAACTTTCAAGACAGTTCAAATTCTATTTATGGTACTTTGGCAGTACAGGTCAACCCTACTTAGATCCTTGTTTAGGCTACAGACTCTTAAAGACCTCCAGTTGTACTGTGTTCAGACACAGTCAGTATGTCTGGCCCCTTTCACAGTGGGATCCCATCATGTCTGGAGCTTACTGTAATGTAAATAAGTAACAGGTTTGCCCACCCTCACTAATGAGCTGGTTTCTTTTGAACGGAGAACAATAATAATCCCTAGCCTAGCATGAGGAATGCTTTGACCTTTTGAAAGTTGTGGGTTTGATCTGCAGGCCGTATTGTACTGTCAGTCTTCACATGGTGGAAATTAAGTACTGGGTGATTGGCAGGGCTCCCGTAGAAGGCAGCGAACCTGCCTACTTCAGAAATCGATCCTGGGAGCAGAGCAACCTGTCACGCAAAATCTGTCTGTCTCGGTGCAGCCTTTCTCTAAACAAGTCTGATATTTTAAACCCTTGGGGTTGTAATAACCATCCTTGGAAAAGTTCTGTAATCTGCCCAAAGGTGATGCTGTAACTCTCCGGCTCTAGTATTCCTTCCTATTTGCAAATGCTGGTAATCTCCCACATCTGGCAAAACCCTCTTGCATCATGTGCGATACAACATTTATCAGTATGTATGGGAAGTATAAATATATGTAATAAACTTCTCTATTCTTTAGCATTTTATATGTGTATATATATAAAAGTAAAACTACGAACACGTTTACAGTCTGCCCAAGCTGCACTTGTTTTTCCTGGCATTGTTTACATCTTAAGTGAAGTGACAATCTGACCCTCGCATATTACTTCACCAAGCTGGCTGTTTTAATATCTGTGAGACAAATAGGGCGTGTTAGTTTTCACCTCCTTGCAGTACCTCTTTATATATGATGCTTTTCAACTGCATATTGTAAATGCTAGAGATCTTCTAGATAATTTCTCTTGACAGGCAGGTATTCTGTGCATGTAAACCTAACTTTTTTATGTAATTCTTCTTGTTTATTACCACAGGAGAAGAAAACTTGCTGGCAATTTTGAAAAGGAGATGGTGGAAGTACATGATCCTGGGGATAATAGATATAGAAGCCAATTACCTGGTAGTCAAAGCTTATCAATACACCACTCTTACTAGTGTACAGGTAAGGACTCAAAGGATTTTCCCTTTTGAGGTAAGATAATACCCCCAGTGGTGTCAATGGTGCAGTGTCCATTGGCTTCACTGCACTAATGGCTAGTTGCTGCCTATGTCTTCTGTACTTTTTAGTGCTGTCTCATAAGAGGCATTTTTTCATGTTGGACTATTTTTATTACTCAGTATTTTCCAAACTGTACAAAACCATACTGGCTTTCATTTTATTTTCCTGTGCTAAACCATTCATAATCCCATTTTTGGCATTACCTATTTAATTTGGTCCTTTAAGGAAATATTTTCAGATGGGCAGAAATGTTTTTCTCACTTTATATTGTACTTGGAAAAAATACAAGCACTTTTTTTAGGATTCCATAATTAGATCTGAGTGCAAAAGTTGTCATTAAGTAAAATGAATGTAGTTATGATGAAGAAGTCTTACTTTAATGCAAGCAGTTAGATGTGTTATGTTATGTAACAGCTTAACTGCAGCTATCAAAAAGTGTACTCTCCCTTAAAAAATTATACATGCAGTGAACAAAAGCTAGGGTAGCAATTTCTCCAAAGATCTAACCTGTATATTTTAAATACGAACACAAAAGAATCAGGCTTCTTCCCATTTAAGTGGAGAAGTGAATAATAGAAACATTTTTTAGAGACTGGAAATTGTCTGTCTTGGGAAGTGGAAATCATTGCATACTTCATTGCTACTTGTTCTAAAATAAACCTACTCCCTTCTTACATTATCTAAATAACTGCGCAGCACTAGGTGATGTTCAGTGTATTTTACACGTTATTTGCCTGAAGTTTGCATTAGAGCCAGTAAAATAGAGGAGCACCAGTTAATGCTCTGCAGAGTCAAAGCTATAGGAATATCTCTCTTCCATAGTTGAAAAGTGACATTGGAAAATACTAAGCTTGTTTAGCTGGATAAGAATTAAAAATAGAAGAAAACTATGAATTCAAGGAATCTGAATGTGAGGTTTATACTAAATATTCACAAATGCCTCTACCATCAGAATCTTGGTTTGAGATTTCTTTGAAACATGCCCAGACAGTGTAATATTGCTTTTAACACTTTTCCAAATCAGATTACTCGGTATAGAGTAAAGCATAAATCCACGTAAACCTCATACTGTCTGATTTTATAGCTACTAAGAGCCTCAAAGAGAAAAGCAAAAGCTGAATTGCTTCTTTTGTGTGTTCACTCATAGCAAGTAGGAATAGCAGACTTAGCAAGACGATCCAGGTCATTAAATCCTACCTCCCACAGCCACTCACAAGCACGTATCAGAGGTTCGTCTGGCCAGACCCCATGAAACACCAATTCCAGAAGATGCAGATCCTTCTGCTCTTCTGCAATGAGCATGGTCTTTAGTGTAAGAAATCAAAACCTGCAGTGTGAGGAGGAAGCAGGCAGGAGAGTTCAAGGGCATTGCCTGTGTCTCAGCAGGGAATTTGTTAGCTGAAATGAGCCACACTTTCCTTTCAGACTGAGAGAGAGAGGAAGGGTGGAACAGGAGAACTGTCATAGGACACAGACTGTGTTGTGTCCTTTTTAGACCTCTTCCATATAAAGATTACAAAAGAATTCAGGTCTCTCCCACGTAGCTTGAAAGAGGGAAGAGGTAGAAGCTCAAATGCCATCAGGCTTTTCTCCAGGAGTGGAATGAATGCAGTGTCTCCTTTTCCCATAGTTGTCCTGGATTGCTTGGATACATGTGGAATGACTGGCAATACCTGTTGCATTTTAGATTCACTTCATGCCTTAATTTGAACGAGCTTCTAAGTATAGACAAGCCCAAAGATATGGTGAGAGTGGGACAAGTATGAGGTAATGCATTAAGATGTTGAATCAAATGACACATTTTATGATATGTAGCCAAACAACACCCTATTTCATTTAAAGATGAAACCAAAGAAGCCCAGGGGATTATTCAGCCTGAAACAGCATTGGTCAAAGTGCATAATGGTATGAAATGAAGACTGAAGAAATGGAAAGTAAAAGATGAAAAAAAGCAAGCTTTTCCTAGAATCTCATCTCTGAAGAAGCAAACAGGACCACTCTCAAGAGAGCATCTTCCAAAAGGCCTGATCTTGCAAGAGCACTACCTGTGAGGCCATAAATGCTCGCTGGCACATAGCAAGAAGTGTTCAGATCCTTTCAGAACCGAGACCTGAGAAACCATTACTACCTACCACAAATCAGCATGGCTTTGACTGAAGGCTGTGGGAGCTATGCCGATGTATACATTGACTGAGAATCAAGCCCCTCAAGTCAATTCCAGGGGATTTTATTCTCAATAGGCTTTACACCAAGGCTTTTTTGATGGAAAGAATATAAGAGTTTTTGAAACTGTCACTTGAGTAAATGAGAAATCTTGCAGTATTTTTATAGTAGTGGTACATGGACCATTTCAGTAGGAAATCAGTTTTACAGCATATACTTTTTTTCCACATGGTATCTCTGCTCTGTCATGCAAAACTAACATGCGAGTGTACTGGTCTTGTGGTGCTTTTAGGCAAAAAACATTAAGCTGCTCCCAGCAAAAAGCCAAAGTTTAACTGTAAAAATATACCTTTATTGCAATTGATTTGCAGTTCTGTTTTCACCAAACAACTCCAAGCACTCAACAGCTTTGTTTGCCAAGTAGCTTTAAACTCTCAGGACTGTTAAAGTTTCTAGGTAAAACTCCATCTTTTTTTGTAATTCACATTATCTCATCACGGTTCCAGAAAAAGACTGAAAATGGTGCCCTCCTTTTCCCCACTGTTTCACACCCAAGTCTTTCCTATACTTTCCTTTAAAATTCCCTTTTGATTTTAGTCTGGGAAAACAGAATTTTCTAATAAACCTTCCTATACGACTTTCACCAGATGCTTTCAGAACCACAGTGAACGAGAACACACAGGCATAAATCAGAGATGAATATGGTACCTAACCTTTACTTTTGGACGTGCTTCTGATTATTTCAAATCCTCATGTACTCTATAATTACTGTCTGAGAATGTGGCACTCGGCTCCATCGTAAGATGAAAACAAAGTAATGTAATTTTCCCTCTAAAAAAAAAGCCAAACTAAAAGACCTTCCTTATAAACTAGGTGCCATAAAAAAATTAGATTGAAAACGAATGGACTGTTTATGTTTCAGACATCAAGATGTAGGTCAACTGCTAAGGATAAAATCCAAGATACCCTTTAGGTACCTGCAGCGCAATCCAGGGGCAACTAGATTTAATAGAGCAATCCAAGAAACCCACACCTAATTGTCTATATATCTAAAATGTCATAGACATGTAACATCCCCCGGTCTGTGTAAACTAACCTGCTGCTCAGAGCACAATCTTGGGACATGAAAATGTCTGTTTGAACCTCTCAGGTTGCTCCTTCTTTGGTAGCTTTAAGGTCTGGTTCTTTGCATGCCTAGGGTGTTTCTGCATTGATGGAACCAGATTCCTAAATATCTGCCTCCATTTTAAAATTCAAAAGCTAAGTATTCCTACGTCAGAGTACCCCAAGGAACTCCATTTGTTAGATATGATCTTAGCATGCCTCAAGTGCTTACGGAAAGCCTGGAGTGCTTTCCAAATTGCAAGGGTAAAGCCACCTTTTACATGAAGTCATAGCTGTTAACAGTAGCCCACAGAAAGAGCTTGAATTAACTCCATCTTAGCTGGGGGGATTGAAACTCAAGCTTCCCACAGCCATGAAAATGCTCAGGCTAGTAAGTGAAGACTGTTCTCTACAGGGTACATTTAAAAATTGAGTATACGCCAGGTAAAAGGAACAGTAGTTTGTCAATGGATCAATTTGATATCCAAAAACATGTATTTCAAGAAGTGCCAGAGATCAGTCACACTTAATGCTCTCAGACACACGTGTCCTGATTCCCAGATGGCCAAAAACTTGCAAAATGATCTTTAGTTTCTCTTTGATGCATGAATCTAACTTGCACTAGATTTTGCAGCCTTCTTGCACGTCAGCTGTAGCTGGTGCAGAAAGTGCATTAAACACTCCCGTGTACACTAGCGTCTGATCCCATGGACTTTTTTTAAAAACTATGCACTTAACTTTCAGGACTGCCTGTGGTAACGCTTTCCATATTTATCCTGATGGTTTTTAAAACAACCCTGGTGTAGGCCTGTGGAAGGTTTAATAACTATTCAAGAAGGGTGTTTTAGCTACTGTTAGAGACACCTTTTACACAGCAGATAAAATTAGTTCCCCCAGAGGGAATTAAAAGATTCCAAAGTTCTTGCAGTTATTTAGATCTAGATATTTAATTTGTTTGAAACTACATTTTGTTTTCAACTGCCCCGTACTGCATTTACAGTATACCGCACACGTACGTCCTACCAAGTCCATAATGTCTTCCACTAAGGCTATTATGATACTAACATTTGTAACCTTTGCTGCCAGGTAAGCGCTTTCTCATCATGCCAAGCTTCATTATGAGGCAGACGGTCCTCTCCCTTCTCCCCTGTCGCCCCCACGTTAATTAGCTCTCCTTTCTGTGAATACACCCTTCTGTCCACTTGCATACTGTTTGTTACACTGTTGTGTTGCACTCTCTAGAGGTCATGTTATCCTTTTCCCGTGTTATGACATCACATAGAAATCTGGACTGCTTCTGCAACGCCTTGCATAGTGGTACTGTAGAACATGCATACGTTGTCACAAGAAATAAGACTCTGTCAAAGAGAAAGCTGTGTTTCCAAATAGTGATTTATCTCGTAAGTTATTCCTTGGGCAATCAAGCCTTTGATTGGCATGATGAAAACAGAGGTAGTAAAAGCTGGGATTTATAGACACCAGGAGACAGACAATAAAACTACAATGCTGATGTTCTCAGCTACTCTTAGATCACTGTGAGGCTCAGCAGTACATCATACTTCCAATTACCTTTGGCAATTTTCATACCTCAACAACTGCCACCAGAAAAGGAAAGGAGTCAGCAGTAAGTGCTTATTATAGCAGTGCTGGATGGCAATAGACTTTGCTTTGTTCTT